ACCCTCGTGAGCAAAGTTTCGGCATTTTGCACATATGATTTCTGCAACCGAACCGAATCGAACCGAAACTTCCTCAAACCGATTTACCAAAAACTCAAACCGAACCATGCTTGCCATGGTACATTATATCATACTAGTAGAGCAAAGAGATAATTTTAAAGGCAATTTATATTTTTCATATGGCACCATTCCTACTTTACGCTATCTGCTAACGTAAAAAAAGCGTTATATTGTACTTTTAGTACTCGCAGAACTAGAATGGTGTACCAGAGATTCTCTTAGAGTCCTGTTTTAGAAAAGGATTTTGTAACCTATTTTCTCTTTGAAAATGGGTCTCTTGTTTTACTATCGAATGGCAAATTATGTAAGCCATGGCTTTTGGCGCAAAAATTAACAAAAAATATGAGAGAACACTATACTTTGAAACAGACAGTAGATGAGTAAAATCGATTTACTGTGCTTTTTTTCGATGAAGAAACCTCATTCAGCGCTTTATCATTCACAGGGCAGGGACCACTTTCTATTCAGCAGAAACAGGATTAAATAATTAGAATCTTTCATTCAAGTACAATAGCTTTCAACATTTGTACCACTACTTTTGCATCGTAGATGAAGTGGAATAGGCCTGATTAACCAAAATCACCGGTTGAAGCGGCATGGTCACTATATCTTTCAATGAGAGTGATGCTGTCAGATACGTTCCACTTCAAAAAACCATTCTTTTTTGGGAATCTTACCAAATGTTAGTGCTTGTTCAAACACCTCATCATCACTCAATTTTTGTCCAAAATCACCTTTAACAGATAGCAGTAGATCGAGTAAATCAGGTCCTAGAAAGCGTTGTACTTTACATATAAAAGACATTCTAGTTGTTGATTGAATTTTTTTACCTTTACAAGCTGATCGTGATTGACCATCTTTACGATCTTTGATTATTTGTTTTATGACAACTTTGACATCTCTTTTAGATTTTTCAATGCGTAATTTCGATGGTAATGGTAAATCTTTAAGTATTGGTATAACGCCCAACATATTAAATGCACGGTTTTCAACTTCATTTAATGTAATCGTTACACTTTTATAGACAATATCGTGTACATAATGATTATTAATCAAACCTGTGCCAAATACACAACCGGCAACAATATCTAATGTTAAACGTATCATTTCACAATGTATATCTAAACTATTGCTTTTTAGCTTTGTCCATTCATCTAACAAATTATTTGTTGTTTCAATCATTAAGTTTTCCATTGATACTATATTTTGCTGGTGAAATAGTGGTTGTATCAATTTACGATGTTGCTTATGCATATCATCTTCAGATAATAGTAAATTTCTCATACCTAATACGCTCCCTAATATATATTCCATTAACACTGATTTATGATAATATTTTGAATTTTTCTTTAACACATAATCCATAAGTGACGGATCAGCAATAACAAGATGAGCAATAGGTCCGAACGATGTATGATAATAATCACCGTATTGTCTATACATTTCTATTCCATAATCTAGTGGTTTCTCGTTTATAATGAAGTGTCGAATGCGATATATTTCACCAATAATTGGAATATAACGGCCAGGAACATTCTGTGACCATAATGAACAATGAATAAGATAAGGTTTTATAACGAGATAATTAACAATTTTACACAAAATAACAACGATAATAATTATAAATATTAAAGAGAGAATGATATTCGGCATTTTCACGTTCAAATGCTACCTCACCAATAGAGAAAAGAAAACGTCAAAGCATACAAGTATAAGGAAGTTGCTTCAAAAATTTTTTTCTTTTCCTCTTTAAACATGCTACATAACTTGAGAACCTTGTCATTGTACATACAAGAATCTTACTGAATTTGTTAAGAAACGTTTGTTTCAATATATATGCAAAGAGAAAAAGAAGGTAATATGGTCGATGAGGTAAACGATTAAATCAGAAGTATATCCCATACTGAACAATAAAAAGTTAACCTCCTATTGTTCGATTAACAGATAAATTTGACTAAAATTTGTTAAAAATTTTTGTTCGAACAAATAGTTGGTGAATGTCTGACAGATTTTTAATCAAAAAGAAAACAACAAAGTCCAATGTAGTTTTTCGAGGTCTTCCGAACGGTGGACTCAATTTTTTCTCATAATGTTGGCGTTTTTTCCACAATCGTTTCCATGGTGAAATTTTATGTCTTATATCTCGATCACGATATTAATTTTTTTCTATATCCGGATCGGGATATAACTGATATCACCATGGGTGTTGTTAAGTTTATCGAAACTAAGTGAAGGTAAATAATACAACGAAAAGTTTTACAAACGACCAAAACATGTTACTCTCCAAACATGTTTTGGAAAAGAGCTTTTTAAAATTTATGTGTTTCAACTCTGAGTCGTAAGAAAAATTAATGAACTATTCTGTAGGGCTTAAGAAAAAGCCGTAGCACTTGGTTCTCGTCACCGCAAAAGGCGTTGGCAAATATCAAATATTTCAGAAAATCGTGGTTTCTGAATAGCGATTTTACATCGTATATTTCTTCTTTTTTTAAGAAATTTAATCATTGCGTCTATTACTGTGGCTAAATAATATATTTTATTATATCAGATAAGAAAGAGCATATCTCCGAATACTTAAAAACTTATTTCAATTCAGTCTAATGTTGGTACAACTGTCGAAAAAAATTCTGAATAATTTAAAATGAATGTAGAATGTTGAACAACAGGCTCATAGAAGAAGTCGGTCGTAAGATAAAGCTGAAATACGATTATTGTATGTTACAGCAAAAAATGCTAGACAGACAATCTTCTGTGGTAGAACTAGAACACATCGACCTACTCGATCTTTTTTATTGACTGTAACGGTCCTTTCATGGCTTATGTTTTGGGGCTTTTCTTCCTAGACTTGCGCTGGCTCGAATCTGATGTTCCTCAATCCTTTATCTGTGCTATAAGAAACGTTAAACTATATTATCTCACTACTAAGACTGTTGTTTCGTTTGTTAAGAATATAGAATGCAGTTAAGATCACGTGCTAGCATGATAATTCTATATTCGGAGGCAATAAATATATTCATATCATAGTAATAACACTGTACATATTCAACTGATCGATTTTTTGGCAAATAACCGAACATCGAAAAACTGCAAAGTTGTGAATGAATAATTGACACGAGTAAACATCACATATTAAGAAATAACACAATTTTAATTCAATTCAGAATTTGTACATCGAACCAGTTTTATTGTTTATTATTTCTAAAGATCCGGTCTTCTGAAAACCCAGAAAAAATTATTTTTGAATTTCGAAAATCTCATCATTGGAAAGAGCATATTCAACAACCTACAAAAAACATGTTTATAGACTTACGTACCACTTCTACAGCATATGTCCACGTGCCTAGTCAAAATTGCCCACTGTGATACAAAAGCGTATGTGAGCCATTGCTAGAGATCGGGTATATGATTTATTTTATTTTTTTCCCATCAAATGCAGAATCTTCACGTAAAATTAGCCCATAGTAGCAAGTTTCAACATTTTCTGATGTATCTTAGGCGAGATATGGCAAAAGACCAACCGCAATTATCACATGGCTCGTTTAGCACTACAAATCTTCTGATCTGAATTTGTCCGGGAATATAGCCATTTCCTTTTTCAGTCATCGAAAGTTTATCATTTTTCATGCATTGATACTAATACAGGCTCTACCACCAAGCAACTATTTATATTCAAAAGTTAGTTTATATAGCAATTGATTACATATATTGCTGTTACTTAAAAGTGGATAGTGTAAGGAAAAACGCTTTACCATTTTACCGCCATTTTCGGTAAAAGGGCATATTTTGTTAATTATTCAAAAAATAGAATATAGGCTCTGAGAATTTTCTGATTAATCAGTTATAAAGAGCAGTACAACAGGAAAGAAACCTTTCTCGACGAACTAAAAATTGAGTAGTTTACACTTCCTACTGACGAACAAATGTATGACTGAAAAGAACTAGATATATTCAACAGCTGGTTCATACATCGTTCGATAGAAACCATTAATGTGTTGCTAGAGTAATACTAGTTGTGCCACGTCCACCGTGTTGACACAAAATCCTGTTAAAACTCAAAAATAAAATGTGATCAAGTTTACTTTACTTTCAGTGTGAATAATGTGTTTTCATTGTACGTAACAGATACCGTAACTTTCAGAATAAATTCTATACTTTTAAAAGCCAGAGTAAAGCACAAAAAGTGAAATGATATCAAATTTCAGTCAGTTCAACTCAACTTATTATAAAACCGGTTTGCTTTTTAATTTTGTACTTTGTAATATGAGTACATTTTACATTTCATATAACGATCAAACTACCAAAAACGAACAATAGTAATCGAAACATCAACACTAGAAGAAATATTCATCAATGTGCGTAATTGATATCCTGTATTTGAGAATAAATTTTGTTCTTTCAGAAGGCAGATTAAGCTTTGATCTGTGGTAGTTTCAGACCAATTCTCAAGAGTTATTTATTGTGAGTTTCAGCCTCTGAACAAGCGAACGCATTTTATTTAACGTAGGTCATAACTTATTACGTTAATGACCTAAATGTATAATATTACTTCATTGACGTAGGGAATTTAACATTCTGAACCCATCACTCGAATAAGAGAATATAAATCATCGGACGTAGTCAATAAAATTGAACTTTCTGAGCGCTTAACTAAACTAATCATCACCGAAACACGTATGAAGGTAATATAGCTTTATTCAAGTGAAAACAGTACGGATGTTACATTGTTTTCTCGTTGTAAACGAGAATATTATCAAAATGGTATATGAAAACGTTGGATAAGCTTGCATACGATAGTCACTTTAACGAATTTCGACATGTAATCGAAGATATCATGATGAAATTTAGAACGACGAATAATTGGCATACGTCAAGCAGTTTCTAAATGTCATCATTTTATCAGACACACTACTGTAAATAGTTTATGTAGGTTTGTGAGCATATCGTTATCAGTTTTGATAACTGCTGATCTCAATATGCTGTACACTAGGTATACATGAAAAGTCAAGAGATTCTCATGAAGAACCAAAATTTGTCTAATCATATTTGTTTTATTGAATAATATATAATAGTTAATTTTTCTTAAAATGATTACCCTCAACAGCTTAAATATGCATCAATCGGTGTCTTATGGTAGCTGTCAACATCGCAGATGAATTAGTCAAACGCCCAGCTACTTGGAAAAGAATTCGGGCATGTTGGTAGTGAAACGACCAAACATACCAAAAACAAATGTAGAAAATATGATCTGATTAGATCTAAACGAATCAGATAGTTGTGGTACTAGTTTCATTCCTTGGAATTATTCTATTCGTTCTGCCTCCGTGGATAAATAACAGCTTCTACACTCCTTCACAGTTGGAGAAGAATTTGTGACTTACGAGAAGAGCAGGGTAGGACTTCATGAGAGTAGAAGCTTTCATGCGGTGTGAACCGGTGTTTTGAATTATTAGGAGAGTATATCAGAAACGTTGTGAGAGAAGTGCCTCTGTTAAAATATGAAAACTCCTTGTACGAGTATAATGTGATAAATTAAATACTAATAATTTTAATGAGGGAAATTTTATCTCTTGCAAATCACTGCGTAAAGCAAACGAAAATATTTCTAATGATGGAAAATTAAACATGTTTTATTGTTTACATAACTAGTTCGAGATAAAAATTCTGAATTGAATTAAAATTGTTTAGAAAATATAGAGATAAATAGGCATACATTTTCCATTTATGCCTGATACATTTAATAGTCTTAAGAAGACTGAGAGAAACAAAATCGGTAATTTCAAAGAAATCAATGGACTTATGACTAAATCTTTATCAATAAAAATTGTTTTTTCAATATTGTTCGATATGTATCATTTGGTAACGCATGTTGTTTACGTGAGAAATACACGAATAGAACAATTGCTGATACGAGATTAACCAGAAACGGAACAAAATTACTGAATATATCCAGTGTTCCTTCGTCTGTTTTCAACCATTCGGATTTAAACTGACTTACGCACTACAGACATTCTGTTATCTTTGGATCTTGAACTAATCGACGATTTAATGTTTGATGAATTGCCGATGCAGTAATTGTTATCATTATTAATGGTACAACATATTTCACAAACTACGAAAAAACCGCTTTCAGAAAGGTTTTTCAGTCGAATATTTACTGTACAATAGTCAAAAAGTAGTCTGTTCGATTTGCCTTGATAAGCTCTATATTGTACGATCATTTCTAGCGGCACATTATTCCGAAGGTAACGACAAACGTTTTCGGTTATTACAAAAAGGGGTTTCAGCCGAATATTTAGTTTCCTTTATTATGCAATCGTCAGAAACTACCCGATTCGGATCTCCTCAAAAAGCCGTTGATTGTAGAGTTGTTTTTACTTACACTTTGTTACTAAAAGGATGTCAAAACTCTTGGTTTTTCATAAAAAGTCCTTTAAAAAAGCTTT